TTTGTATAAATTTTTTTATGTCGGTTTTTTATCTGATAAAAAGTAGAAGTTAAAAGAAGAAGAAAAGAGAGAGAGAGAGAGAGAGAGAGAGAGAGACATTATTAATGAAAGACACGAAGAAAAGGAAAGAAAAGGATTTCTATGAACCCAGATTTCTAACAGAATCTGTTGCTATAAAAAGTTGCTAGGATGGCGGGGGCACAGAGTTTTCTTGGACTTTCCCTGCTTGGTTACTCTCAGGGTAACGGATAAATGGCTACCTCGGTTCCGTGCACCCTTGAAGTTGATTGTATCAGAGGGAGGGACGAAAGAACCGTTGAAAGAGCGGACAAAGGAACGAGCGAAGAAGAAGAAGAGGAAGAAGAAGGACAAGAAGAGAAATAGGAAAGGGAAGGAAAGGAAGAAATGAAGGAGATGACTTCGTCTCCGTTGGAACGATCATAACGCGTTCCTTTTTACAGGGAATCGTATCTAGTCGACTTTTCTGTATTGAAATCTTCTTGCATTGAAATCAGAATTTAACGTGCTTGTACGAAAAGAAAGTAAGAAGGAACTGATTTGCTGATTCGTTCAAAAAATCATCTTATATTTAATTTCAAAACTTGAGTCAAAAGACTACGAAAGCTTATCAACTTGCATTTAGCAAGAAATGTATAGGTTACCTTCATTTTGTGCCATGATTAATAAAAAGAAATTATTTTAGAAAAAGGTATATTCATAGCGTTACATTAGGAATGTTATCCTTGAGGATAACATTGAAATGTTAAGTGTATAGTAAGTGTATATATATATAAGTCCATTGACAAAAATGTGCATTATTATCGAAAAGAGATTTAATTTAGAATATCTTGGCCTTAAGCCATTTAATAGATTTCATTTTTAAATAGAAAATGAAAGAGTATACTTTCAGCATCTAAGATAGATTAGTAAAATGTTATTGTAGCTTTTATTATTTGTATTAAATACTATATATATATAAGGCTTAACTTTTCAAAATTAAATCCATTTACAATAATAATGACTTATGAGTCACCTTATATAGATACATGTATAGATACATGTGTATGTGTGTGTGTGTGTGTGTGTGTGTGTTAGAAATATTCGTTGATTTTGATATGATCGTTTCGATTTGTTTGATAACAATATTGTCTTTGTAGAGATCGGTCGGTGTGCACGCGGCTTAACTTTCACAATATCGGGTTGCTGAGCGACCCGCCGCTCCAGGAGGAAAATTTAATTTCAGCTGACAACATCCTGTTCCGCTACACATTGCACTCAGCATTCTACAAAATCGCATGCGAGACGATAGCAGCCAGCTAGGCATGCCAGCTTTTCCCGATGATGGCTCGGTTTCTCTCATTGTCAGACCTCCATCTACCGATATGACTCTCTCTCTCTCTCTCTCTTCCTCCCTCACTCTCTCTTCCTCCCTCACTCTCTCTTCGTTGGCATTAAATTATTCCATCGCCGACGAATAAAATGATGGATTTTACACGAGGCGATACTCTTAATCGAAATACCTCTCAACAACGTCATCGACCCTAATGCAATGAAATCATGTAACGTAATCGAAAACCCGATAAAAGAAGATGAAGAAGAAGAAAAAGAAGAAGAATAAGGAGAAGAACAAGTGCTTATTTTTCGATAATACCTATCCAAACGATTGATATTCTTAATTGTCATGAAAAATGGAGAATCGAACAGCGTAATCGTATCGTGTAATATATTAGCATTTTATTAGATTAATAGAAAAAATTAAACCGCATAATACTAATTGTAATATAATTATATATTACTATATAATAATGTTAACGTAGAATGTATATTAATATACTACTTTATCATAATACTATTATAATGTATATGCTTGTATATTATTATTTTATATTACTTATTACAGTATTTATATTCAATAATATTACTCGGATTTTGATCGATTGATACGTCTTAAACGTCATCATGAATAGAATGACAATAAAGCATGATAAAATAGATGCCCACTTATTCTTAACAGAAATTCTTTTAATCTTGACGTATGAAGAATCAGCATAATATTAATCGTGCTCTCCAATTACAATATGCACATCTACATATGCCTATATATCATATTTCAAAGATATTCGCGCCTCATTATCAACAAAATGGATTAGTTTACAAAGAATGCAAGGTCGATTTATTCTTAGAAATGAATTCAAAATAATCCATTTCGATAAAAAGAAGAAAAAGTCTTTGAAAAGTAGATAGTTGAAACAGATTTTCTATCCCTTTGACATAGATAGATAACGAGTAGAAAGTTAACGAGTCGACGGTGTGGTTTAGAAGGATATACCTTATTGCAACATCTCGCAGTATAGGGTAGAAGGGTTTAAGCTCGGACACGTAGCACGTTCGAGCGTGCTCTCGTCGTACAGGATACGTATAACTCGCGCGGCTGGAAAATACCTCAGAAGCTGAGGCTGACTACAACCATTATTTGTTCTAGTCTCCCGAGCATCACACGGCCACCCAATTCCACCTTCTCTCTCTCTCTTCTTCCCTCTCTCACCTACCCACTCTCTCTCTCTCTCTCTCTCCTTTCCTCCCTCATCCACCCACTCTCTTTCTCTCTCTTTCTTCCTATCTCTATCTCTAAGCTAGCCCGCCATTCCGTTCTCTGCTCCTCGTTTCTCTTCACATCCCACTCCTCACCCTCGAGCTATATTCCGTATGCGACCCTTTCCTCATTTCCTCCCTCTCGTGTTGTCCTCTCTTTCTCTCACTCTCTCTCTCTTTCTCTCTCTATCTCTATCTACTCGTTCCCTTCGTCTCTTCGTGCGTCTATTTATCCATCTAGCGGTATGATATTACACCCCGGGGCACACTTCGGCAACCCCCACCTCTGGAATATCAGCTCGATCCCTCGAGCCACGCCCAATACTGATCCTCCCAACCCCGAAGAGCTCGACTAGGAGGCAGTCCATTGGCCCACGTTGACTTTACGTCATCGCCACCCCTGCACCTGCACCGCGTGTGTTCATGGATGATGGTACCTACTGGCCGTATAAGAGAAAGAGAAAGGGAAAAAGAGAGAGAGAGAGAGAGAGAGAGAGAGAGAAAGGGGAGGAATATCAGAGAAGGGATTGAACGGAAGTGCTCCGTCTCCCTGGGACGAGAGACAGAGGCGGCAAAGAGGGTGTTGAAATTTAGGAGGCTTCATTTGGTCCATTCTTCTATCGGCCCACAGCACCGCGAACTATCGCAGATATCGCGAATATAACCGAGCTTTATCCACCCTCCTCTTCCTCTCCCCCACTCTCTCTTTCTCTCTCTCTCTCTCTCTCTCACACTTGTACTTCTCGAGGAAATCTCATGCTTTTTCTACCCAGCCATGTTCGAGCATCCAGTAATTCCGAACAATGATATAGTCATTCCTCTACAATAAACGATGCATATATTTGTACATATATATATAGATATATATATATATATACATATATATATATGTATATGTATGTGTGTGTATGTATGTATGTATGTCTATATGCATATATGTATATATGTATGTATATATATATATATATATATATATATATATATATATATACATACACACTTATATGTATATAATATGTACATATATAAATCTTCACACATGAAAACCAGTCGCCTTGTCTCGCTTTTGCTTCCGGAATTTAGGTTAAGAGAATGACCTCGACTCAGATACTACTTGTTTCCAGTTTATACCAGATGATTTTAAACACGGCTTTCTTATCGTTTGAAATCGATTCTAACTTTTTCTTATAGGTACAATCTTGTTGATTATTATTGTTGTTGTCTATTTATTCCTCATGTATATATATATATACATATACATATATATATATGTGCGTGCGTGCGTGCGTGCGTGCGTGTGTGTGTGTGTGTGTGTGTATAAGCGACATAAAACGGCGAAAAAAAAGGAAGAAAAAGTGGTGAGTAGAAAATAACAGGAATATACTGAAGAAGGAATACGTTTTCGTTGTAGTTGTAGAAAGGGAGGCCAGAGGCTTTGATCAGAAGAATATAATACACATGATGTCGTGGATAAAAAAAACGTCTGAAATTATGATTTCTCCTTCTCCTCCTCCCCTTCCACCTCCTCCACCCCCTCTTAGGGATAGAGGTTTAGGGTGAATGGTTAGGCCTTGAAAGACCTAATCGCTCTGAGCGAGCCTCTTTGAGCGCAAAGTTAATAACGTGTATTTATGCATTTGCCACGTTTAATTGCCCGTGAGGCTATTACCTCCACTCTGAAATACGCCCTCTCCCGTATTTAACGTTCTATGGAGGGTACAATTGAGCACTTTGTAAAGTACTTATCCACTGAGACTCCCAATGACATATGATTTTAGTAATCGTACAATCAAACTGGCTCGCCTATATATAACGGCTATCTTCGCTGTAATATATCGCCGTCGACAACTTACCTATGAGTTTTGTGTTATCACGAATATTTAATTTTATTTAACCTAAGAAATATAAACGAGAAATTAAGAACTTAATTTTCCCAAGGTATTTATTCCTTTTTTGTTCGTCTTCTTTTTTTTCTCCCTGGATAAGAAATTGGTTCTAAGTTCAGATCGGTTTAATTGATTAACGGCCTTCGTGAAATGGAAAATTCGTTAAATTAGTTCGCTAAAATCTTTTATTGCAGTCCGGTCTCCATTTAAAGGAAATCGAAAACTGAATTGGATTGTTGATTAAATTTCTCAACTTTGCATTTTCTCAATCTCTCTTTTTCTCTCTATGCAAAAAATAAAGTAATTAAATCGATTCATTATTTTTTTATTACTGTTAATTTATTCGTAAAACGCGATGAAAACTATATTTTATAATTATTATATATTATGAAACTATGTTACATAAGTATATATTTTTATGAACTCTAGAGAAAAAAGAAACAAAAAATAGGAATTGAAAATTTGTTAAAAAAAAAAAAGAAAAAAAAAAGAAAAAAACTTGTTTAATTTAATCGCGGTTTGATGCAACCACGCCTATACTCTCCAATGCCATCTAACAATTTCTTCTACAAATACAAACTCGATGAAGAAACAATGGCGCTGTTCTTACTAAAAGTGTAAGGTTAAGATACCTTAATTTTATATTCAATGTTTATTTTAAAAGTAAATTTATAAATAAGTTTAATCCTATAACTTTTTAAAGTGATGTACTTTCGTTGTGTGTAACAAATATGTCAAATTAATACTAATATTCAAGAAAATCATTTGCATAACCATACTATCTATATTTGTAGATGAATCATAAAATGATATTTTATTCGTAATGTATTTGTTGCGAATTATTCGATATCAACAACAGGCTATTTTTTCGCTAACTGCAAGGTAATTATTCCTTTATAAACTTTTAAAAATTTTACTTTAAAAATTGTACTTGTTGTTACTGCATGTTCTTTTCTTTTTTACTTTTTTCTTTTTACTAGTCATCTTTGTTTATTATTATTAATATTGATCAACATTAAAGATAATAAATATAAAAATCTTGTCGTTTTTTTAAGAGAATCGTTTCTAAGTAATCTATTCAAAGGAGACTAGTTCAATTCTTGCACAATTCAAGATAGACTTCAACTCTATATTTAAAATATCTATTAAAGAGGAACACAAGAAATAAAAGATTCTATCAGACATTTATAAAGTTGGTTGGGAAATATTGGAAACAGATGCAATTTATATATTCAAGATAAAAGTGAAATAAGTGACATGCGAGGCAATTAAACAACATAATAAGAAGAGAGAATAGTGATGGTACCATTCCATCATTTTCATTTCAATGGAAATACTTTTTGGAGTATCTGTATCCACATATTTGGCAGTTATTGATTTCTTTCTCAGTAAGTATGAAAATATTGATAAAAAGTATATACCATTGTAGGCAGATTCAGTCTTTAAGCAGCTTGAAACATCAAAGGTACCACAAAGTATCTCAATTTTATGCAATACGATTTTCTTCCTTTAACTGTTCATACAAATGATGTAGGAAAAAATGCTCTGATCAAATTGGATTATAGTAATAAACATAGATATAAAATTTATTTATCGAGCAACAGATATTAAATTAAATTTATCATATAACGTGAATTTAACTTAGTTGTTTGAGGACTATGTGTTACATGGCTCGAATATGATTGTTTCTATTTGTAAATTCATCACTGCATATTATACCACTATATTCAATATACATATTTCTTATTTGTATAGCACCCTAATCGTCGCTCCGTTAAATATTTGGATACCACAATTTATTGGGAATATTATGAATTCAGTATATTCAGGAATATATTCAGGAATATCATAAAAATCAGTATTGTCAAAGATATTCCAAAATAAAGGAAATGATTCTACAAGGAATACTTTGGAAATCCTTCTGAGTTCAACATTTATGTTGGCACATGTATATGTTGGCATATGTATGTACATTTTATATATTTTTAATAAAGATAGAGGATAGTTACTTCTTTATTCTTTTGAATTATAACAAAATTTAAATGTAGCAGGCATTTATTTACTTTTGTTTATATTCACGCATTTTTTCTCATATAGGAGAAAGAGTTGCAATAAAATTATGTCAAAATGTATTCAAATTTATTATTGTTCAAGATATTGCATTCTTTTTTCGTTCTTTAACATTCGTATAATGGTATAATAAATATTACACTATACTTTGAAATCTATTCAAATGCCTATATGTTTGCGGTGATCATTGTGACGGTCAAAGTGTTTTATTTTTATCACCTTCTTTTCTTTTTTTTACAGGTAAGAACGTTGCAGCAGAAAACAGAGAAACAACGGTATTTTCTAAAGAAGTTGAACATGCATCTGAGTTATATGTGAATGTAGACGATTTGATATTGGTTTGTATCAAGCAAGAATAAATTTGTTTTTAAATAGTATTCTGCTTTATACATTGTACTTTGCTGGTCATTTAATGTCAATTGGGCAATTAACGTGCGGCGATCTTATGGCATTTTTGATAGCAATTCAAATAGTTCAAAGATCTCTCTCTCTCTCTCTCTCTCTCTCTCTTTTTCTCTCTTTCTCTCTCTCTCTCTCTTTCTCTCTCTTTCTCTCCCTCTCTCTCCCTCTCTTTCTCTCCCTCTCTCTTTCAGGGAATATAGAATTTAAAAATGTAAAATTTAGCTATTCAACTCGGCCAGATCACATTATTTTGAAAAATTTTAATTTGAAAATTCCCACTGATAAAACAGTTGCTATTGCAGGTTCTAATGGGAATGGTTAATCAACCATTGCCGAATTGTTATAACAATATATTTTATAGGTAAGATATAAATTTGTATAATAATATCAGATTATCCGTAAAAATTTCTTACGTTTTATAACGAAATAATATTATAGATGAACAACAGTTTATGTCTTATATTATATTATTGAATTATGTATGATCCATTTTGTTCTATTACCTTTCTCCATCTCTTAGGAAGCCGCATAATGCCATCTATTCAGAAATTCTGGGATTCGCTAATATATAAATATCATTCTAGGTATATTTTTATGTCATTTATTGTATTAAATTTTTTGTCGCGAAGAGAATTTTTTTAATCAAAGGAATAAATAGTAATATCTTCAAAAATGAATCTTTGGATTCATATCACATGTCAAAATACGATTAAGGAAATTGCTCTCTGTCAATTGATGCCGGAATTCCTACTTCAGAGGGATTGACGTAGCCGATCTTTGTAAGATTATCATGCACCATCGTTCGCGCAATGTTTAAGGTATCCGGCAATTCACAAATCGCGGATTTTTAACCATGGCCTTGATTAGTTCCGTATACGTAGTGGATAGGCAGTGGCTGCGTTCTTCATCTTCCAGTTCCAAAACTCCTTAACCAACTGTGAACTGTCAAAATCACACCCATGCATGGTGTAAATCTTATTTGTGGTATGTATAATTTACTGATATTTTTTTTAAAGCAATACAGCATTACATGTCGCAAATGGTTCCTTTGATTTTATTATATTTAAAGGCATATGAAATGGCATATATAAAACTTCAATGGAAATGAAACGTATTCACAACATTTGACAGATATGTTTTCATGTTTCTATAAACATTGCCAGATAAAATAGCGTGCAGATAATTAAAGACAAACATTTTGGATAAACCTAATAAAATATAATATGAAATATCAAATTTGTATTATACGTATATTCTATAATAATTTCTTGAATTTTTACACAGATTTTATGATATCAACGAGAAAATAATGATGTCGATAATCAATATTTCTATTGATAAATGAAATATTAGATCTCTTAGAGGTACTATATTAGTGTATATAAATCAAGAATACATGCTTTTTTGCAACTAATATAATAAGGAGAATAATAAATATGAGAAGCAAGATACGATTGGTGAGAAGGCGAATAATAATGTGTGAATAAAAATTTTAATATTTTATCAAACTATTTCATTATATATTATGCATCATTTAATATACCAGATAATAAAAGCGACAGAAAAAGCTAATGCTAATGAACTTATTACAAAATTTTCAAATGGTTATGAAACCCATATTGACGAGACAAGTGGTCAATTATTTATTATGGTGAACAAAAACTGCCATTACTAGAGCATTAGTAAAGTAATCGTCAATTTTAATATTAAAAGAAGCAAGGTATAAAGAGATTAAATATCAATAATTTGTCACATATATTATCCTGTATTCTATATGAATTTTATCTTTTTTAATATAGCGCAATGGATTATGAAAGTAGAAGCGCTATGAATTATAAAAGTAGAAGCGCAATGGATTCAGAAAGCAGTAGAAAATATAACCAGAGATAGAATAGTATTAGTTATTGATCACAGACAAAGTATTATTCAATCGAGTGATATTTTTGTTGGATTTCAACAAGGTGTTACGTAGAGGTAAGTTTAAAAATTTTATGTGGATTGTTTGCAAGTAACACGGACTAATATTCACTACTTGAAAAACAAAGAAGTCTAAAAATTATTTAAGTGGGGGCTTACGTATATTGTTAATACAAACATTAAAATTAAAAATATATAAATATATAAAATATATATAAAATAATAATATATATAAAATATATATAAAATAATAATATATATAAATATATAAAAATATATATAAATATATATAAAAAATACATAAAATAATTCTTTTTTTATAGTTTATGCAAAGAAAATATACGAAATAGATTTTGGAAACTAAAACCATTAAATACGATCAAAGATAAATAACAAGACTGAAACGTGAAATTCAAAATCAATAATGCGTTTTAATATTTTTTTAGAAAACTGTAGAAAAGTATAAAACGTAATAAAAAAAATATAAAAAATAATAAAGAAGTAAAAAATAATAACAATAAAATAATATAATTACGAACAAATTCAGATCGGTAAATAGCAAATAATAACGGAAAACAAGGGAACATGTTGCTAATGTTAAAATAGGGGATCTCCCCGATCGGTCATGCAGCTACTTACTTTAAAGTTGGGAGATCTCCCCATTCGGTTGGCTAAATGTTAAATATAATTTAAACGTTAATTTAATAATTGAATGATGCAAATTTTCTTTAAATTAATTTAAAAATCTAAATTTTCAATGTCAAAATAAATTGAAATTTTTTTTGTCGATAACTACGATTAAAGTGACGAGTAAAATAAAAACCTACATGTTTATTCCGTTATTTTAGTCACTTTCGTATTACAATAGTTTTTTATTATTTAGAATTTTCTTTTAGTCATGATAGTTATTTATAGTACTCGTACCATATTATTATGACATATATCATGATAATAACAAATATGGACACCAATGCGATCCATGAGTTTTTGCAGCATAGACCTTCCCCTCTGCTGCTCCCGGATCTATAAAGTCGGTACCACAAGCGAATATAATGGATGCTGATAATGAAAAAACATGGTTTAAATACCTGTCAGTTGCCGAAGAAGATGTTTGGCCAAGCATGGAATGTTCACCGTTCGTCGTTGATGTTTGGTCGGATGAATCGAAACTACCCGTCATTGTATTCATTTCGATTACGTATGGCATGCTTTTCGTTCACTTAGTACGATTAGATAAAAGAATAAATTTTCAAAGATTGATATCTTCTATAATCGAATTCTTTCAGATCTCGGTATGTATATAATATACAATTTTTTGATATTTTTAATAATATTTTATGATATTTTGATTATATAGTAGAAGAATATAATTTTCATATATATTTATTTCAATCATCTGTTTTGATTCTGTAAAATAAATTAAAATTTATAGATTAATTAAGATCTATGATAGATATTCTTTTATTTTCAATTTGTAATTACCGGGGATGATTCTGATAATATCTCTTTAATTGATGATTTCTTTTTTTGACGTAAATTGTGATCGAATGTATGATATTGTATGATATTTGAAAAACAATCAAGTAACATGATGTGGATAATGAAAATTCACGTTTCTTTCTGTAATATGTAATTGAAATTTAATGATGAATGTTATTTTGAATTTTTATGAATAAGCACTGACTGTTTGGCTGGATGAGTTAGTTGGACACTGATACTGAGATGGATGAACTTAGTTTGACGCGAATTGCTCGATGTAAAGTACTTACGAACGTCTGATTCGTACGGCGTACTGCGAGCAAATGACGAAAAGGGCAGGTCGTCAACGCATCTCGCAAACGCAGTCGTCCTTCCCACGGGAATGGTACCGTTGCGTCGATTGGGGTAGGGGTATCACTAGGTGGATCAGAGTAGGGGTACGTGATGGTGGGTGAAGCTTTCAGAGCTTGCCTTCTATCTATAGCTAGAAATGTTCGTGATAAAAAAAAAAGTTTCTTTCCTGTGGTCGAACCAATCCGTCGTTCCTTCATTGTTCTCCAATGGCTGGAATACTTTCATTTCGAGAAAATTCACCTCATCGTATGTATAAATTACGAATTAAATCGTCCGTTTTTTACCGTTTTCTCTCACCCCTCTTTTCTTTTTTTTCTTTTTTTCTTTTTCTTTTTTTTCTTTTCTTAAGATGAAAGGATCACGTACGTAAAACTGTATTATAATTTAATGCATTTCTATATAATTAACAATTATATAGAAATAATAATTAATAATTATTCTAATAATAATTACAATATATAATTTTCATACTATATAATTTGTTTTTGTAAAATCGTTTTTAAAAATCTTTTCATGGGGATTTATATTCACTTTAATGTCGCACGATATCAGAGAATATTGATTAAGAACTCTTTTTCATAACATTATCTTCTTTTGTTGTCATAAGTAAATATTACATAAATCAACAAGCATTTCTTCTTCTTTCTAAAGTAAAAGAGAATGAAAAATATGAATGCGGAGAAATTTTTTTTTCATATTTATTTTCCTTCGGAATATTATCTTTTTTTCGTTTTATTATGATATCAGCGTATCCGTATTCCATAGATTAATAAACGCTCCTGCTGTTTTATTGAATGCTCCCCCTAGCAAAGAGGATTTTTTAAAAAGAAATTAATATTTCTGTTTGTTTTCTCTCATAATAAAAGTATCATAATAGAAGTTAATATTTACATTTTTCGATCAAAGATTCACAAGACATCGGCCAAAAATGTTACTTACCCAAAAGATATTTGTATCTCCGATTTCTTTTTTGTCATAATAAAAATTATGTTATACGAGTAATCAAATACGAGAATTATCTGCTTTTCATTTTTTTTTTTCAAGTTCATCGTTTCTACTAAAAATTCCTTTATAAGAGAGAATAGTTACGAATAATCCCCTTCATGGAAAACATAGTTTTTATCTATCACATTTACCGCAATCCGATATAATGTCAAGCTTTTAATTTTCCAAATTTTCGAGCATTATCATCTAATACGGTTTGTTTTAATATGTGGAATTAAACGATATTTTTTATATCATTGCAGCGGCGTTGACGTCAAAGCTTTGGCGTAATCTCGAATATCAAAGAAGGAAAATAGAATAATACGTATTTACGCATCTATATATCTATTTTTTGTGTTATGAGTACATATTAAAATGCGTAACGATCAAGTTCACCGGAATTATACCAATTATACCAGAATTATAAACGGCTTCAAGAATTTTTGAAGTGCTTCTTGAGAATATTATAAATCGACGTTCAGAATTTAAAGACAATGCATTTCCTTTTCAAGCATCGTACTTATTTTGAAATAATACGAAGAAGAAGAAGAGAAAATTTATAATGGCCAATGACAACGTACTTTGACGATATAGGCTAATACGGCGTAATTTCAAGAAAAATTCAAATGGTGGAGCGAGAAAATAGAATACATTCTTCAAAGGATAGAAAGATGGACAGCTTCAGTTAGAGGATACGATAGATTTACGTCAGAAAAGATTATCGAAGGGTCATCAGTTGACGATGCACGACGATCAGCGTGTATCAAGTTGTACTATTACTTCGAACAAACTTATCATTGAGAATTCTTCTTAGGGTCTTCTATGCTTTCAAAGGAAGTCGATTAAGTTATTAGATGTCGTATCACAAAGAGGAAATGAAGAACAATTATAATGTTGACAGTGTTCTTGGATATCGATCTAATGATAATTTGGATAGCCTTTTGTTAAAAAAATTGTAAATATGATCATAGTATTTATTTTAAAACCATCGGTGGAATTATAAATGATAAAAAAAATCGTAAAAAAATTAACGATGATTCTAAAAAGAGAAAATTTGTTAATCAATGCTGAAGTAAAAGAATTGAACAATGAAGATTCCAGAGATAAATTTAATTCTAGTCAAAAGGATGTTGGTGTCTGGCCTATCATCGATTTAGCAAATGTCGATTTTTTTTATCGAAAATATCTAACACGGCGTATCGACGAAGATTAAATGGATGATCAATAATAATAAAAAAAAAAACAAAAAAAAAAAATAATAATAATAATAATAATAATAATGATAATAATAATAATAATAATATTATGAAAATGGTACGGAGAATAGGAATGATTATGAGAGAAGTAGGTTTAATCATGAATTAAAAAATGAGTTGAGAAAGAATCAGAATGAAACTATGAATTTAAAGATGCTTAAATCTGTGGGGACAATTAATTGATTTATTGTTTGGTAAGATAATAATGTTTGTCCGGGAATACTTTTAAATGATACGAAAAATCTTCTGTCCATGTATTCGTTACCGTGTTAACGTTTATTTAATATGAAATTCTATATTTCCAAACGTTTTTTCCAATACTCATCACATATGTCATACGATATCTGTTTCATGGACTCTCTTTTTAAAAGATATACCAAAGAGATATACCAAAAGGAACGAAATAGACGTTAGCATAGATCAAATTTCTACTCATCAATTGTTAAAGGGAATTAGATTTCTACATACATAATATATTTCGAATTCTACATACTGCCACCCGTTTTTTCACATCTCTTCATTTGATTTGTTTTATCGTTCTTTCCTATCGTATCGTTGAATATGCAGGGAAACCGCGCTTGCGTTCTTCCGCGTCTGCGTCCTGCGTAGGGGCGCGCGGAATTGTATGCATGTGTACAAATGTTTCTCTTTCAGAAGATTCTTAAGAAATTTAATTACGAAGATAAACCTTTCCACTTGTTTCTCCTCTCACCAAATCATAATATACAATTTGACAATAAAATCATATTATCTGCATCATTTAATTACCTCTAATTACTTCATATGTCATTAATTTTGTTCTTTTTATTATTACATTTCTATAAAAATTTACGATGGATATGGGTATGGAGAATGATGATCGATACGAGATATATATAAAGGAGAAAAAAAAAAGAAAAAAGAATTATTGTTAACAGATTAATATTTCTAATGATTTAATGCGTAATTTATATTTAGATTTGAAAAATATCGTAATAGTTAAACGGTCCATGTTTTGATAAAAAAATCAAGGATGAGAGCTGATGGCATGAGAGCGAAGAAAGAGATGGAAAAAAAACTCGGGATTCAAATTGATCGTAACTTCCATTTTTTGAAAGAGGACAAAATATGTTACAAGGATACACGCTGTTCCTTTCCTGATCCATCATTATACGTTATAACAAGACATAATAGAAACAAAGTAATCTGTTTAACGGGAAAGAAGAAAGGAAGGAATGTTTTTTAAAAAAATTTGGTAAAAAATCCGAAGAAGAAGAAGAAAACGATCACGATGAAAGATGAACATAACTTTCTTAGCGATCGTAGCACTGTTGGAATTCGATGTTGGTGCTTCTATTTAATCCTTTGCAACCGAGTGTGTCGGCAAATAGCCGTCCAAGTCTCGTTCCCGTCATGGACGCTTGTCGGCAAATAGCCATCCAAGGCTTTTTCTCCTCGCGGACGCGTGTCGGCAAATAGCCACCTAAGTCTGTACAGTTACTAACACGTATTTAAAAGTGGCTAACGTACGTCTTTCTTTCTGAGTGATAAGATACGCATTGAGTATGGTAAACTAAACGGTATTACATTTATTTTGAAAGGAAATTAGAGATTTTGTTTTAGTTTTTATAATCAATATCTCTTGCTCTCAGGGATAGTCTCTCGTCGATCGATGCCGGCTGCAAAAAATATTTAAACTTACCACATGTCCGAAGGATTGCACGAAGGAAGGATTTGCACAAGAATACCATGAAAGCTTATGCTTAGGATGTAATGAGAAAAGATCAAACGTCGATACCATGCAATCTACCGTAAGTAATTTTTAATTTTTCTTTTTTTTTTTATTTTTTATTTAGCGATGAGTAATAATAATAATGAAAAAAAATCAAATTATTTATGTATTTCTACTTTTTCTTTTTTTTTCCCATATTATAGATTTACATTGCTGCTGGGGCAAAGAGTGACTATACAGCTTGATTGTCCGTGAATTTGCCCAATATTCCTACTGATCCTAATAGCATATATACCGAGGTATTATTACGGAAATTTTATAAAATATATGTTTAATAAAATAATATAAAAATATCTTGGAATGGTAATATATTATTTTCTTTTTTAATTAGTAGGTTTTTTTAGAAGCTTGTATTAAGTACCATTAATATTATTACTGTTACGTTATTTTCATTAATTGGTGCATTTTATGAAAAGGTACGAACAGTACAAACAGATTCGTTAGATCAAGAATTGCTTAAAGTAGAAAGTTCTTTCGTAAAATATTGATCCACCGATGGTCGATTTTGTACTGACATCTACTGGTAATTTTATTCCTGTTTACTTGTGTCAATATTATTGAAGTATATAAGAGTAGAGAATAGCTTAATTAAATAATAATAATAATAATAATAATAATAATAATAATAATAATAATAATAATAATAATAATAATAATAATAATAATAACAATAATAATAATAATAATAACAACAACAATGTTTCTTGCCGACAAGTTATTAGCAGATTTAGAAGAAAATGATGATTCCAATTGAATGGCAAAAGAACCAAATTTTATTCCATAAAACATTTTCAAATTCTATTGAAGAAGGTTAGTTTTTAGTTCAAATTGTACACCTTACATATCTATAACTTTTATTTATTTCTTTTTATTATAGAATTAGTAAAGCTTTATGATTTCAAGGAGCTGAAAAAGATTATGTTGGAAATAGAAAAATAAAGTGGAGTACCTATAATATTGACTGGTATCATAGGCTCTGTCGAATCTGATCCAGAATATCAATTGATCATTGAAGCAATTGATATACCAGTTGAAGGTAGTTGAATAAGATATTTTCAAAATATTTATTATAATCATTTATTATATTATATCATTCATCTTAGGATCTGGAAATAGTTCATCCGCAAGCTGCAGAAGAAAAAGTAAATGAACTCAATGTTAAATACTTATCAAATAATTTATTCAAAATAAATCTTAATGGAAATTTCTGTTATATATATATATATATATATATATATATATATATATATATATATATAAACTTTATTAGATTTAGAAATATTATTATTTAACATTTAAACAAAAACTTGATATTCTTTTATCTCTGACATTGTTCATGTAAGCGCAAATACTATCAAATAATTTATTTATGTCTTTTTAGGCAATCTAATAATAAATGAAGCAATAAAAGTTTCAGACTGATTCACTTTAGTGTGCGTGCTTGCGTGCGTGTGTGCGTGCGTGCGTGTGTGTGTGAGAGAGTACACATTTTTTTTCAGGAAAAAGCATGCATACAATAGAATTCTTGATTGCCATCCGAATACATTGACTTTTTTACATGAAGTCACAATTAGTAAATCACAATGGTAGACGATTGCAACATCTTTAAAAGAATCAAAATATCTTAAGTAACAATATTTCGTGAATCATTATATAATATCGAACATACTTCTTTAGAGATGGGTAGAGATATGCAGCAATAAAAAAAAGAAATACAAACTAAATTTAACTTTGATTTTGTTATATTCGGGAACGTTACATTTCTTTAATATAGATGAAATAATAATAATAATTATTATTATTGATTGAATATTATTGACTAAATTTTATTGGTATTCTAAATGTAATTATTATAAATTAAATTCAATTATATATATTTTGAACCATTGGTATTCTGTGAAAAAAAAACATAATATATATTATATAAAAAATAAAAAATAATAATAATAATAATTATAAAAATCATAGCAATTAATTACTTGTTTAATGTAAATAAATGAAAGCTATACGAATTTATTGTCTCTAAACGATCGAATGTTTTGTTTAATATATTTATGCGATAAATATTAATCATTCTTTGTAAAGATTTATATTCCGATATAGGAAAAATACCAGGAATAATTGGAATTTCTAAATTTCTACAATCATTAACAAAGTTTATAAATGTATTATGAAATATTTGTGTTATAATAAAATCTTCACCTGCGTCAACCTATAAGTAATTGATATTAAATTATAATTTATATATTAGACATATACTTATATCTAACAAATCTTATTCCTATAATAAATAAGAAATAATTACATCAGAAATAGTTTGTCGGTATGATGTAATATCATCGGTAACGATTCTAATATTATATCGATATGGGGAATCATTTATAAATAAATAAATAAGTTTGGTTATATTCAATATTTTTATTCGTAGAATTAGTACGTTTTTTTTATATATACAACCAAACTTATGTTACGTTCAAATCACACACTCAAATACATAACATACGTGCGATACATCAAACGTAGTAACTGTTTTATTTACATGTAATAATCGAAAATCGAAAGATATCGAAAAGGGCCATAAACGAGATCGAGAATCGTAATAATAAATCTCGAAATATTACACGTTCTTATTGGTAATAAAATTTGAACTCGGCGTTGATCGCACGATCTAACGTAGTAGCGTACGATCCGAAAGAAGATCTCTCGGTATGTAAATAGAAAAAGAATATTTACTATACGACGAACGATTATATTATAGGAAATTCGAAGCAAGTGTTACCTTGATCGAAAGATCAATATTCCAGAAAGCCGATTTATCGATAAGTTCGAAAGAATCTCGTCGCAATACGAGATCGTGACAAAAACAGTATATACTAATCTTTTATTATATGAATTCAATTGTAATATTCATTACAATTCGATTATTCTAGTCTTCTTTTATTTTATTAAGCAATTTAATTATTTGGATAGAGAGACGAAGCTCGATCTCGTTCACGTACGTATATAACCATCAGATATATTGAAGAAAGAAAAAAATAATATATACAGTCAGCAAAATAGATTTACAATCCATATCTTATTACAGTTTACAAATTGAAGAACATATATGTTATTTGTAATATGAAAAAAAAATATTGATCGATAAAGCAAATTAATGCTTTTCAATAAAAATATTCATACACACACACACACACACACACACATACATGTTCAAATGAAAGGTAGATAGTTATATACATGCATATATACATATACATATATGGATATATATATATATATAAATATACGTGCGTAAATATAATATGTGTTATATAAATAAAAGTGTGAAATTGTAAGTGGAAAGGTGGGATTAAGAAGGGAGAACTAAATACGTGACCTCGAAATGAGTCGTTCATAAAAATATAAACAGTGGGAAGGATCGACAACGAAAAATTGGTAGTGGAGCAGCGAGTGTGTTTACGGTGTGCACGAGGGAGTGAGAGAGAAAGGAAAGTACAGGTTCTTCGGAGAGCGAGTGAACGAACGATAGAAAGAGATAGACAGTGAGTGAGGGGAAAGAAGTAAGAGAGCGAGAGGGAAGAGAGCAGGTTAGAACCGGCCAGAAGTAAACGTGCACGTGTCGAAAGATAATCACGACCACCTTTGTATCATCCATGTGTTCGATATTTATTTCTCATTCATTTTCGTCATTTTTATCGTTCTCATTCGTTGGGTTACGTAAAATTTTGGAGGGAAAACATCGAACCCGTTTTAACATCAACGTGTGACATCAGTTAAATTTTACGAAGAGAAACAAGTTCGGTGGAAGGAGCGGAGGGGTAAGGAAAGAAGGAAGAAGAAATTTTTTGCCTCTCGAAGACGAAGGGCCTTCTTTGGACTATCATGGCGACTTTTAAGGATCTTAAAAATGACTGGACAGCCTTGTGTCAAAATACCACCGATTGTTGGACCGAATCTGGTGATTATCATTTTATCATTCCTTTTTCTTTTTAATATTTTTCATACAATTCGTTAAAAATATTCGTTAAAATGCAAATATATGTATGTACGTACATATAGGTTAGAGTTTAACCTTTAAGATCGAGATTGTGTAAACAATGTAAACGATGTATTATTATCCATCGGGATATACATATAATCGTCTATACGAGTTAAGATCGTATATATCGTTTTACCATGTGTAGTTGAACGTTCGAGTTAGATTAGGATATGGGATTTCATTCTTGTTCAAATAAGATTAAGAGTTGTAAGAGTAAGTATGTATATCTTTTTTTTTTCTTTCCTATGTTAAAACGAGATAACAACATTGTAATCTCGCGACGTAACAAGAGGTTATCCGTCGTTTAAATTTATTTTAATTGAAGAAAATGACAAAGTTTCAAATTAAACGAAATCATCGATAAAGTTTTCGCTTCCTCTCTCTCTCTCTCTTTCTCTTTCTCTGGCATTTTATAATACGTTACATGTTAAAATTACATAGGTAAATTAAAATTAAATAGGTTACGTTGTTGGTGTTTTCTCGTCCATCCAAGTTTATGGCGATCCTATATAATTATGCAATAGTGTTAAAGAGTCGACTATATGGGTGTACAGGTATGTGTTAATTTGATACATGTACATGTATAGATATGTATATATGTAAAAAGGACGGAACGTGCTCTCGCAGGTGTTGTCGAAGGTTGCCGAGGAGACATACTCGACCGTTACTCTGGAACGTTTCTTTGCGATTACCGGTTTATCTCTTTCTCACTCTATCTCTTCGTCGTAAGTGGAAACTTATTCTAAAAACGAATATCGCAACGTAAACGAGTGATAGTACGCGCAAGATCGATTAGCATAAACTTGCTATGCGTTACGAACGATCCCTTTGCTGTTCTCTTTAAGGACCCTGGACTACATAAAAAAATACTTTTGTAATATAAATTCATAATTGAAATTGGATGTAAGGTTAATTAATTCGAATTAGGTATAATTACATGAATGATAATATTAATTAAATAATGATTATACTTATAGAAATATTACAAAGTGTGTGTGTGTGTGTAAATATTATATATTTATATTCAAATATAGATAAACAATATATGGATAATATAAATCAATATGTGATATGATATGTTTATATTAACAAGTAATATCTATTTCATATATTACAATATTATAAATTAACAAGTATATGTATTATATATACATATATTGTTTATCTTAAGGATATAGGATGAAATACTCAACCATGCAATAGGATTTTCTTCACTTACGTGCTTTTCCTTCTAATGTAAAATGATGTAATTCTCTCTCTCTCTCTCTCTCTTTCTCTCACTCATTCACTCACTCACTCACTCTCTCTCTCTCTCTTTCTCTGCATGTGCGATCTCGATTTCCCCCGTTGAGATATATACTCTTACCGCTTAGATCACGTTTCTTGTTTCTTCCTTCACTTCTCGTACAATTATGCAGTCCACCTATAATTTCAGAGAACACTTCTTAAATTATTATGATCTATCGCTGTTCGAATAAAAAAACATAAAAGTTTTGGAACTCAAGGTTGTAGTTTGGACAATTAAATAATAAGATAATACCGAGAGATTATATATTGAGTTGATTGAAATAAGACAATATTTCATAATTATATGATATTTATAAATAATAATACGAATATAGATAGATGAAGGATAATATTAAATTGATCAAGATATATGCTGATCAACAATTATACATGTGGGTTGCTCATCTATGGTATGTGTGTGTGTGTGTATGTGTGTATCTATATATTTTTATTATTAATACAATCGAGGGAAACAATCGTGCGAATAAATAGCGTTATAATCGGGACTGCAAATAGTGTGTAACGTTACGATCACGTCGCGCCTGTAATGCGGACTACTACCGTATTTGTTCTTTATTACGAACCGTATATCGTACATCTAATAGTCGTTCTTTCCTTTTTTGAAATCGGCTTCTCTCTTTCCCAGATGTATCGCTCACTTTATCTTTTTAGTTTCTTTCGTATCGATGTATTTCTTACTTACTGTGAAATCAAGATTTTGTTGATTGGTAGCATGATTTCTTTTTACCGACGGAGGAAACTAAAGTTTGTTATTAAAAAAGTAACTAGATAATTGATCGCGTTTTATTATCAATATTCAAGATACGTTTTCTTCAACTCCGTATATATATATATAATTTTTCATTAGTAAACGTCTAATACATGTTTCGTGAACAAATTTTAAAGTTTGTATGCTATATTAAGTGACCGTATAAAAATGTATTGCATTAATATAAATTTCATTTTTAAAATATTAAATATGTGGAGATTTATTATATTAAATATATATTTAATGTACAGATTTATACATTAAATGTGTGAGTTTTTTTTTTGAAGTCGAATCAAATATTAGATTACAAGGACGCGAGCTTTTTGAGAGGAAATCGAATAGTATTATATCAATAGAAATTATACTTTTTCAGATTATATATAACTACCGGTCTAGAAATTGTTTTTACGATCGAACAGATAAAATTAATTCGTATATTTTACAAGTTTGAAATAGTAATTTTCAGCCCACTCTGTACATTTAATAAGGGTTGTAATATCAATCGAAAGTTTATCAAACTTTACGATTATGTTATAGTAATCGTAATTTTTTAAAAATATAATTTGTTATAATTACAGCAATATTCAGCTTGATTTTATTGATTATCTTAATATCGCTATTGCCGCTTTCTAAAAGCCACACGAAAGTCTTTCGCTTATCTACATTATCTACATATATTATATACATATACATATAGATGTATGTATTGAGAAGGGAACGACAGAGTCCAAGCGACATAGGAACGATCTTTCTTTCTTCGGGGTTTTTCTATCGTCGATTAGGAGGGCGCCGTAGCCACGTAAAAGGTAGGACTCGGCCGATTAGAAAGTTTCAATCGCGCGTACACTTCGAATGCATTTGCAACGAAACAAAACGAAATGGGTATCTTGTTCAACGATATTTGCTTCTGTTCGTCGTTTGAGCTTCCTATTTGCCGGTTCCGATATCAACATGCCAATTACACTTTGTAAACGCTACCAATTACGCCAAGTCTTTCATGTATCTTTCGTTCTTCTTAAATGTTTCAAGATAAGCCGACAGATCGATGAGATGTGTGTGTATGTGTGTGTACACACACATATATATATATATTTACGCGAGCTCACGTGTATATATTGTGCTTTTCATTAGAAGCTAATCAATTTGAATTACTTATCCTATAAGAAGCAAGAATAATTTTTTTTCCTAAAAAAATTTAATATTTCTTTTATCATTGGACCTGTATATTTTTTATTTGGTTGTTGTTTTATCATCAAAAAATAATTTCGAGAATTTGTTAGAGAAAAAGATGGAGAAACAGTTTTTGTCGATTTTGGAAAAATTCAGCTAGGGAAGAATTAAAATAATCGATGATAAAATATAAATGATTTTATTATTGCGCATTGAAGTTGGCATGTTACTTCATGATGATCTTAGTAATAGACGTATAATTTTTATTAAAACTTATTCAATCCACATGAAAGATACCTGATGGACGCCCTACGTAACATTACACCTTTAATGAGAGCACGATACCTTGAAGGAAGAGCATTGAATGGAATGCTGTACGTTGCCTTTTTCTGAATCAAGTTTGAAAGTCTTGCTATCACCAGAGAAATCACGTCACTCCTAACAAGTATTGAAAACACCATGGAAGCTGACCCGAATATAGATAATCGATTATGAAATAAGTAGTGCCAGTGGAGTACTTTTGCACAATGTGGAGAACTTTTACAATCGAATAGCTAAAGAAAACAAATTTTTATATTCCCTCATCGTCTTTTATCGAGCAGACGTGCGGATGTACGACTTTTCGGTTATCATACGCCTGACTAGATTCAGATACACAAGAAAATGTAGTAATTATAAAAATATTTATATTTATATCTATATTTTCGAAAGGAAGTAGAACTTTCTCATTACTTTTCTCTTACTTATCGACAACCACGTATTATTATTTGTATTAATTTCTTTTTCTCTCTATAAAACATTGAACGAGTTTGAAAGAGCATTACTTGTTTGTCCGACTTGCTGTCCATATTTGTTCGTTTGGATATTTACAATCCGATGTTTCTATTTATTCAATTAATCTCGGTATAGCCGGGTCGCTCTCTCTTTCCCTCTGTCACCATTCGATTCCGATTGATCGTCGAGTTCGAATATTCGGGACATTCCAACTATCATTGCGTATTGGCATTATCATTATGCTCTTCTCTAGGGAGTCATTAATGGGAAAAGAAATCGACGATCATGCGATGCTCGCCGCAGATAATTTTCTGTTACAAATTAATCACTGGTGTAGCGTCGGTATATATGCATTTGTATATATGCATCTGTGTATATACATATATATATATATATATATATATATATATATATATATATATATATATGCATCATATAGGTACATTCAGATCTTCCAATTTTAATATTGATCTTTTAGTTTGCTGTCGGCATATTTGATTTCGTTTCGATAGCTACCTGTTTACTTATCGATTTACGTTGTTCTTAGACTCTCGAGATAATTCGTTGTTGAGAATTATAATATATTTCAATGATCAGAATAATAAGTATGTCTTTTATTCAATAATATTTGAGTCATTTAATTTGTCTCTTTAATAATATATACATACGTACGTTAGTGCAAGTTCAAAGAGGTCTCTCGATTGTTTTTACATTTTTTAGATTATTTCTATATTTTATTTTTGAGGAATATATCAGATTCTAGCGATCAGTCTTCGAGTAAGTTCGTCTGCACAATTTGTGAAGGTAATTGATGTTGGATGCGCGAGACAGCTATTGATTAGGTCGTAATTAGATATAGGTCATTTGGGAAAGTAAAACGAGTATTAATTAACTTTGTATAAATGAAATTTTATATTTA